ACGTCTGTGATCGGGGGTCATTGTACCCAGAATTCACAGGCCGGTCGATGTAACATCTGTGATCAGGGGTCATCATACCCAGAATTCACAGGCCAGTCGGTGTAGCGTCTGTGATCAGGCATCATCGTACCCTGAAGTCACAGGCTGGTCGATGTAACATCTGTGATTGGGGGTCATCGTACCCAGAATTCACAGGCCAGTTGGTGTAGCATTTGTGATCGGGGGGCATCGTACCCAGAATTCACAGCCTGGTCGGTGTAACATCTGTGATCAGGAGTCATCGGACCTGCTGAGTTTCTCCAGCGATTTCTGTTTTTATTTCTAATTTCCAGCATCCGCAGTTCTTTGGGGTTTTTTTTATTCCCTCTGGGGTGTTGTGCCTCTGTGGTGTTCCCTTCCCCAGAGTACAGCTGAGGCAGGGCCGTGGAATATTTTGAAGGCAAATATCGGTTTGGACTGAGAAGGAGGTGAGAGGTTATTGGGGTAGCTGTTTTGTTGGGGGTCACGATCAGATCCACCATCAACTTGTTGCTTGGTGGAGCAGGCCCAAGAGATCTAATGGCTTTCTCCTCCTCCTGATTCATCTATTTGTAGAGCCTCCTGCCTATGTGTTCCCTGCCCCCTGGCTCATCCTCTTAACCCATCGCCTAAATAGCTCCAAGCCCCATTCACTCGTCCCTCACTGACCCTTCCAGCTTTAAAATTCTCGTCCTCCTTTTCAAATGGCTATGTGTGACCTCACTGTTCTTTCTGAGTCACCTCCTGAAACCAGTCATCTCTCTTTGAGATCTCTGCATCCCTCTAACTCTGCTCTTTCGACTATCCACCACATCTGCTGGAATTTGTTTGGTAAATCTCTATCGTTTCTTATCCTTCCCACTTCCAGGAGGCTCCTGAATATAACCCAGCTTCTGCTAATCTAATCTCTAGGACCTTACCACTTTAAGTTCAACTACGCCACAGAGACACACATGGGAGGGTGCCATGGCTATTTTTGTTTGTAGTTTTTGGCAGGCCCATCCGTTGATGCTTAACCCCCTTGCTTAGGGTCAATCCCATCACTGTGGGTCTGGAGTCACATGTAGACTTGACCGAATAAGGACGGCAGATTTGATTCAAAACAGAAGTTGCTGGTAAAGCTTAGCAGGTCTGGCAGCATCTGTGAAGAAAAATCAGAGTTAACGTTTCGGGTCTGATGACGCTTCCTTAGATAACTCTGATCACCCTGAGCTTTTCCAGCAACTTCTGTTTTTGTTCCTGATTCACAGCATCCGCAGTCCTTTTGGCTTTTATTCAACAGATTTGGTTCCCTGAAGGGAGGACATGGTAGCTCAGTGGTTAGCACTGTTGCTTCACAGCGCCAGGGACCTGGGTTTGATCCCACCCTCAGGCCACTGTCTGTGTGGAGTTTGCACATTCTCCCCGCGTCTGCGTGGAGTTCCCTCCCATGGTCACAAAGGTGTGCAGGTTAGGGTGGGTTAGCCATGGGAAACATGGGGTTATGGAGATTGGGTGGGATATTCTTTGGAGGGTCAGTGTGGACTCAATGGGCTGAATAGCCTGCTTCACCCTGTAGGGATTCTAATGAACCAGGTGGGATTTTTACAGCGATGGAGTACAGCTTGCAATTTGCAGTTGGGATTTGAACTCATGTCCACTATAGTATCCGCTGGATCACGAGGCTGGCAGCAATGCTGCTATGTAACTGTCTCCTGTACCTCAGTGGGAGACTGACTTTGTTGTTGAACTCAGATCATTGCTGCATTTTCGCCTCCAACCCATCTCGAACGTGCATTACGGAAATATTGGGGACAATTAGTGAGAGCCCAGAGACTTCTGTTTTTCCACATTTTGTTTTTAATTGTCTCTTTCAAAGAGCATTTTTCTTTGTGTATTTTTTTTTCGCAAGTTTTCACAGCTTCAGATGAAAACGGACCCCATCCTAGATTCAGGCGCGAGTGTTGCAGTGTATCACAGTATCGGCAACATCCCCCTCACCCCGAGCCCTAAATCGTTTGCAAAAACTTTTACAGCCACATGATTCTATAAATAACATTATTGACTTGATTAACCCTTAACACTGTTTGTGTTTGTGCTGCACAATGAGGGGAGCAGCACAGATACATGAGTCTTGATGCATTGCGTCATGAGCTACACAATCTGACACATGAGAGCCAAAAACAAAATGTGCTGAGTATCTTACCTGTGACCGACTAGTTGTCGCTTGATGCCTCAGAATTGTTTTTGATCAGGTCACATTACCTGTGGCGCACAAGAGCTATAAATCGCTCAGAAAAGACTCTCCTGTCAGTGCAGTATCAGATGGGTGACTTGTTGGAGGTCTTTAAAACTGACGAGGCCTTCAATAGTGCAGGGAAAACTGGAGATGTCTCCACATCCCCTGACAGTCACTACCTAATCGGGAATTCAGAAGAAACACACCGGAGTGTGGAACCTGCCACCACACTGAATCAGTGTCGATGTATTTATGGGGAAGCTGGACAAGTGCATGAGGAATAGAGGAATAGATGGATATGCTGATGGTGTGAGAAAGGTGCACATGAGCTGAATGGGCTTGCTCTCGGTTATGAATGATGCCAGTTCGATGGTTGACATGTGGACAGTAAAAATCCAATCCAGCCCCGTACACGTGTGGATACAAACAAACACCAGCACGGTTCTCTGTGATGACTGTGTAGAAGGGATGACATTCTGCCCATCTGTTCTAGAATGTATGGACAAGTGTGGCCTTCCAAGTCACCCCTTCATCCTCTAGATCCACGGGGTTGAACTCTTAACTGGGGGCTAGCAGCTGTGACACAGATCTTTGAAACTGCAACAGCTTTGTGTAAGTTATATACTATTCAAAAAAAAAACCCCACTAATCCTCCAGAGATTAGTGACACCGATTTTGGACAACTGAGGTGAATTTTGTGTGTGTGTGAGGTGAATCTTGGTTTGATCAAATTGACCATTTATTTGAAACTCCTGGACATGGTCATGTTGAATGGAAGGGGCCGAATGGCCTACTCCTGCTCCTATTTTCTATGTTGCTATGGTCACCTTTCATTAAGATTCTTAAGCAATGATGATATTGACTAGATTCCCCATCCAAACCTGTTTAGTGGGACCTCACCATTTACACTAAAACAATTCAGGATTGTAAGTGAGAAACATTCTGGAGATGAAACAGGCTGGTGGTTTGCAGTCATATATTGCAGCTTATTAAAGAGACAGCATTCAATCTATGCTCACAATGAAATACTTTGACCCATTTTTCTCTTAAGGCAAACATTTGCAATGAGATGCTTTTGCTAACTTAAGGCAGCATGGCGAGAAGAGGTTTGTCTTTTACAAAAACAAATAAAATCGCAAAAGTTCATGTTCAAGTGCAGTTCCAGTTCTGGACAGGATCCAGTAAAAGTTTTGTGGAGTTGTGCAATGCTTTGACAGAGAGAGCCGAGGACAAAGGAAGAGTCTTTATGATGAGATGATCCCACAGTGCTATGGCCTTTTGTTGTAGCTGAGTTAATCAATCGGATTGCAGCACAGTGATGGTCTCTGCACACTCCGACAACCATTTCCAGTTCAAGGTAGAACGGTTGTATTTTTCGTGCGTGGTTCATGAAGGCGTGTCGCTTTGGGGACCTCTATTACCAACACCCCCTCCCCTGTGCAAGTCGACACACTCGCTAGTGCCCGTCAGATTTTCGGGGGAATGACCACTTCGGGCTGACCCACACTGGGCCGCCACATCAAGACCTGGGCGTCGTTGGCGTTAGGTTTCCTCAGGGCATTGAGGGCGATGGGCTCATTCTTGCTGAGGATCGAGGGGGTCTCCTGCTTGATGGGCTCCAGCAGCACGGCCCGCTCCCCCAGCGCTTTGCTGGGATCCACAGCGATGTGAAGCTTCATCCTCCACTTGATGGTCTGCAGCACAATGACTTCACCTGTGCCTGTGTTGGAGGCAACTAACCATGTGGTAAAGCTTTGGTCCCTCATGATACTGGTGAGCTGGGCAGTGTTAGACCTGCTGACTGGGACAGCCCAGGTGACGCTGGGGTAGAAGTTATCATTCATGCTGACCGTGAAACGCACTTCCCTTTTGGTGGGCCCCACAATAGTGTGAGTTTCTGTGGTGTTTCCGTACCAGGGGTAGTTAACTCCATCCGAGTCACTTATTGCTGAAATAAGTCCATCTCTGAGATCAGGCAGCTCCCAACTGGACCTTTCGAAAGAAACAGAATTTGAAGAAGTTAGATCATGTACAAAGTCTTAACTCTATTTGACTCGAGACTCTCTGTTGACGAATACTAACAAGTTCAGAGGGAGGGCTACAGCATAGAAAGTAGTAAGGGCGTAGAAGAGTAGTAGTAAGAGAGTAGTAAGGGCGTGGAATGCCCTGCCTGAAAAAATAGTAGACTCGCCCACTTTAAGGGCATTTAAATGGTCATTGGATAAACATATGGATGATAATGGAATAGTTTAGGTTAGATGGGCTTCAGATTGGTTTCACAGGTCGGCGCAACATCGAGGGCCGAAGGGCCTGTACTGCGCTGTAATGTTCTATGTTCTATGTTCTATGTTCTATAAGAAGGGCCAGCAGCCCATATGAGCCAAGGGGTATAGATAGACAGCCAGAGACATTTTCCTAGGGTGGAGGTAGCTATTACGAGGGGGCATAGTTTTAAAGTGAGTGGCGGTAGATATAGGGGAGATGTCAGAGGTAGGTTCTTTACTCCGAGAGTGGTCGGGGCGTGGAATGCATTGCCGGAGAGGGTAGTGGAGCCGGCCTTATTAGGGGCATTTAAGCGGCTATTAGATAGGCATATGGATGATAGTATAAGGTAGGGGTGGAGGTTAGATAGACCTTAGGTTTAGGGTAAAATTTCGGCACAACATCGTGGGCCAAAGGGCCTGTACTGTGCTGCACTGTTCTATGTTCTATGTTCTAAGAGATCACTGTTCTAATCCCCACTATTCTAATCTTCCAGGTCCTTGCCCACTTGTATTGTTAGAATAAAAGTGGGTTCAACAGGAATCTGTGTCCCTCTGCCTTGTACACAGGGCACAGTTGACTTGCCTCAGGCACAACTGAGCCACCCCTGCTTCAAGGACCATAAATGGAGTCTACACTGTTCACCCTGAAGGATGTTGGAAGTCATGTCTGCTGGTTATACAGAACAGCTCCTGAGGATGAACAAGGGTTCTGCAAAAAAAAATACCAGCGGGACAGTCTGGAATGTTTGCTGGGAAAAGGAAGGAAAGTGAGAGGAGAGAGATTTTAACAAGATATGAGGGGCAAATTTTTTACACAGAGCGTGTGGACTGAACATCCAGAGGAAGTGGTGGATGTGGGCACAATTACAACATTTAAAAGACATTTGGATAAGTACATGAATAGGAAAGGTTTGGAGGGATATGGGCCAGGAGCAGGCAGGTGGGACTAGTTTAGTTTGGGGTTATGGTCAGCATGGACTGGTTAGACCGAAGGGTCTATTTCCGTGCTGTATGACAGTCACGTGAGCAGGGCATAGATGCTGGTTCCTGTCCTCAGAGATTGATCGGCTAAGATTTGATAGAATCGTGAGACATGCAAAGAAACTGTTTCCAATGGCTGAAAGGGCAATAATCAAATTTAAATCCATTGGCAGAAACAGCTAGGACTAAGTAATAAGACAACACAGTGTAGAGCTGGAGGAACACAGCAGGCCAGGCAGCAGGAAAGCTGACGTTTTGGGTCAGGACCCTTCTTCAGAAATGGGGGAGGGGAAGGGGACTCTGAAAGGGGAAGGGGAGCCCCTCTCCTTTGCTGAAGAAGGGTCCCGACCTGAAACGTCAGCTTTCCTGCTCCTCTGATGATGCCTGGCCTGCTGTGTTCCTCCAGCTCCACACTGTGTTATCTCTGACTCCAGCATCGGCAGTTCTTACTATCCCTAGGACTAAGTAATGTTCGGAGGTTTTTACACAATGCACAGAGAAGATTTGGAATATACTGCCTGGGAAGGAACTGAAACTGATTTAGCAGTGGCTTTCGAAATGGAATACGCCAAAATATTGATAGCAAAAACAGTTTGCTGGGATGTGGGAGGAGAGTGAAGCTAACTGGATTACTGTTTGAAACAGCCATTGCAAAGCCCAGTGAGTCAAATAGCCCCATTCACTGCTGTAACATTCTGTGGGAAGTGTTAAAGAGAGTTCGGGAGGGGGCAAACAACATGGAAGTGGTCCTTGGCTGGGTTTACTGGGTCGTAGTGGCACTGATAGGCTGGGGGCAGATATTACCCTCCCCTGCAGGTACTGTCGAAGGTGAAAAGGAGGGAACTGAGGGGAAGAACAAGGTGTTTAAGCAGCTGGTGTTGAGGGGGGTCAGGATGGGTGAGGAGGCTACAGCAAAGTAGTAAGCTGCAGCTCCCACTGTGTCACACATTTTAGGTGTCCCTGTCATACAGTGTACTGTTCTGATCTCCTGGTTTTAAAAAGTATACAGAGAGTTTTTCAGTTGGATGGCAAATATTCCATGGAATGTAACAGAGGAAGCCAGTGCTGCCCTGGGCCTACGGTAATTCCTCAAAAATAAACAACATGGTCATTTAGGAAACATAGGAAAGGAGTAGGCCATTCAGCCCCTTTAATACCATTGAATGAGATCATGGCTGATCTGTGGACTAACACCATGTCCCTCCCTTTGCCCATATCCCTTTGTACCTTTGCTTAACGATGATTTATCTATCTTAAATTTAAAACCAACAATTGATTCAGCGTCCACAGCTCCTATTGAAGAGAGTTCCAAACCTCTCCTACCTTCTGTGTGTAGCAGTGCTTTCAAACAACTCTCCTAAACGGCCTCAGACTGGACACTGGAAATAATTTATCTACCCTGTATTTTCCTGTTAATATCTTGAAGACTTTGATCAGATCACCCCTTAACCTTGTAAATTGAGAGAAACAGCCCTAACTTGTTTAATCCATCCTCTTAACTGAACCCCTGAAGTTCAGGTATCATTCTTGTAAACCTACATTCCTGTGCTCCCTCCAAAGCCAATCCATCCTCTCTGAGGTGTGGTGCCCTAATAGTCTCTCGTTACTCCAGGGTTTTGTATAACTGCAGCATAACTTCTTTGTCCTTATACTCCAGTCCTCTAGCTATAAAGACTGGCATTCCACTAGCATTCTTAATTATTTTCTGCACCTGTCCATGACACCTTAAAGATGTTTACACCTGGAAACTCCCCAGTCTCCTTGGACATTCACTATATTGAACTTCATACTATTTAGAAAGTACACTGGTCTGTCCTTTCTTGGTCCAAACTGGGTAACCTCACACTTACTAACATTGAACTCCATCTGCCACAAATGTTGCCCATTCACTTAGCGTAAAAGTGTAAAAGGATATTGATGGACCAACATCCACACTAACTACAGTGCTGCCTAACTTTGTGTCATCAGCAAAGCTGGATATGTGACTTTCTCCACCATTATCCAAGTCATTAATAAAACCATGTGAAGAACTGAGGCACTAACACAGATCCTTGAGGGATACCATCGCTGTTTATGGGACATTGTGAACAAATTAGCTGCTGTGTTCCTCTACATTCTAACAGTAGTTACACTTTAAAGTGGTTACATTGGCTGTAGAGTGCTTTGGAATGTCCTGAGGTTGCAAAAGACACTTATCTGAATGTCATGGCAGGGGTTTTGTGGGCCAGCAGCAGTGATACTTCCTCTGGGTAGAAGATTCAAGTCCCACCTCATGCTGTGATGGCCAAATGCTCTGTGTCCATGGCCAAACAGGCTGATTAAAAAAGATCATTTCTAAATACCACCACTTTCAGTTAAGGGTGAGCGAGTGTGGGAAAGATTTGAACAGTCAAAGATTTGACTTGAGAGAACAGGAAAATTCTATTTCTTTATGGCCGTTCGTATGGAGACATGGATTGATTTGATTTATTGTTGTCACATGGTACCTAACCACAGTGAAAAGTTTTGTTTCATGTGCGGTACAGGCAGGGACATATAGATCATAGGATGTTTGCACAGAGTGAGATATACAAGGTTACAGCTACACAGGGAGGTCCACAAAAGTAAGATCAAAGTTAGGTTTGAAGTTAGAGAGGTCCATTCAGCTGTCTAATAACGCATCCCTCTCTGGTGCCTCTATCTAAATCATTCTGTGACAGTTTAGCAAATCTCACACGGTCAAGACCGTGAGCAGTGCACAGTGTCGGATGTTGCTGGATTCTGTAACATCCAAATGGGGCAGCTCCCCACTAACTGGGACTGGTGCCGGGACAGGAGTGTTCCCTCTCTGTTTTCAGCCCCTTTTCAGTTGCTCGTTGAGGGAGTTGAGAGTTATTCCGAACAATAGGCACCTTTCCCAAAACTAATGTAATAATCAGTTGGAGATCTGATTTTGCTTTGAAGTATTAATGGATTGTCTGCACTGTACTAGATAAACTGTGTCTCTGGTTTTGTTGACTATGGAGCAAATTGAATACCAAGTTGGTGATGAGTCAAGGGAGACAGATTAAATAAAGGGCAAGACTTATTACAATGTGGGCCTTTAGTCTACAAGTTTGATGGTGCATTAACTATGAATCTAAAGTTCACGGGTTGCACCAATGAAAGAAAGAACAAACTTGCATTTATATAGTGCCTTTCATGACCTTGGGTACCAGGGAAGCATGTTTGGAAATGTAGTCACCAAACTCATGCAGGAAACATGGCACTGCAAGATCCCATGAGCTGCAGTTTAAGAAATACCCAGATACATTGTTTTGAAGGAATGTTGGTTGAGGGATAAATATTGGTGAGCACACCACCAGGGAGCATCAGCCTGCTTTTTGTCAAAGTAGTGTTTGCAACACCCTCAAAGTCCTCCCTAGGGGAGACAGACAAGGTGTCACTCGATAGAGCAGCTCTCCCTCAGAGTGCCCACCTGGATTCGAAGTAATGGGATTGAACCCCTAAACCTCTCGCTTGGCCGACAGAGAAAAAGCTAGATAAATGCATGTGGGAGAAAGGAATGGGATACATTGACGGAGGAGATGAAATAGGATAATAAGAGGCTCACATCAAGCATGAGGTGTTGGGATGAATGGCCTGTTTTTTTCTGGTACCAATGATATGAATAGTTCTAGTCCACGGGCTATGTATGTTAAGCACAGCAATACGCTGTAATGAGAATCTGCAAAATCACTTTGAAATACGGACAGAAATTTCATGGAA